GCCCGCCAGGCGCATGCGCTCCTCTTGGCATGCCGGGAAGGGTTTTCCCAGGCAGAGATTTTTTGCCGCGGCTTTCCTCAGAGGGCGCGCGCGGGGCTCCTGGTCGGGCGGCTCGTTCGCTCGAACCGTCCGTCGGGCTGTGTTCGCTCTTATGCTTAAGAATTGCAACCCCGAAAGAAGAATGGGTGTGGGAAAAATTGTATAAAATGCAAGCAGGCCGGGGCTTGGCATGCCGGGAAGGGTTTTCCCAGGCAGAGATTTTTTGCCGCGGCTTTCCTCAGAGGGCGCGCGCGGGGCTCCTGGTCGGGCGGCTCGTTCGCTCGAACCGTCCGTCGGGCTGTGTTCGCTCTTATGCTTAAGAATTGCAACCCCGAAAGAAGAATGGGTGTGGGAAAAATTGTATAAAATGCAAGCAGGCCGGGGCCTTCTGCAACTCTGCTCAGAGGTACATTCCTTTGAGTCCAATGGTGAGGGCATGTCAAGGTAAAAAAAGCGTGCATAAAGTGGCCTGTGGGTACCCCGGGTGCGTCTTCACGACAGGTGACAAAAAAGAGTCCGGAAAACTCGGCCTGGACCGAGAACCTCGCCGGCAGAGTGGGAATTGGGCACAAAACTGGGCTTGTCCTAAATACGTTTGCTGGGAAAGAAGCCCCACGGAACTGGGAGTGGTGGTGGTGGTGGTGGTGATCTGTTAGTTAAAAAGGACAGAAAACTCAGGTACTACACATCCCATCCTCCCCGGAGGAACGTAGTGAAACGCTGCCCAGGAGGCACGCTCCGCACGTTGCTTAGCAAAAAGCCGCCTCGCCGCTTGGCTGCCTTTCAAGCCCTTCTTCAATCCGTGCGTCCGGAGCGCCCCCCAGCGGCCATCCTTGGAAGGGATTCCTTTTGAATGAGCGGAGCCCCTTCGTTTTTGCATCGTGAGGATGGGACCCAACCTGAAACAGACCCTGCCCGAGAGTCAGGACCCGGCAGATACAGTGTCTTCCACACATAGAAACTTAACGCGATTAAACTGCTCACTCGCTGACCCTTGAGCTCACCGTTATCAGTTCGACACGTGTTACAGGTTTCTTGTGCAGACGAGCTGGGGAGGGAACGAGACGCGTACACCTCAAACTCCTTGAAATATACAGTAAAGGGGAGTGTATATGGTACAGCCTCTATTCCATTAAAGTAATTCTTACAGGTGGTATGGCAGGAATCCCAAATGCAAATCTCTCTGGTGATGAATGGAGTGGGGCTTTCGGGTGAACTCGGCGGTCCCTCTGGGCGCCCTCTGCTCCACACACCCCCGTCTGCTATTCTGAGGATCAGCCACAGAATAATGATTTACTGTATTTCTTATAATGTTTCACTCTACTTTCTCCTAAAAAAGGAGCCCAAGGCATAATTAAACACATAATATGAAAAAGCTAAAAACAGTAAATTACTCAAACATTAAAGAAAAATCAATAAGGTTATATTTTTAAAAATTAGGCATAATGCATAACAAATAACACTTTCAGAAGCAAGCAAAATAAAAACCGTTTATTGTTCCAGAAACGGTCGCCCAAGAAAAACCTGCCTGAAAAATACGGGCGGCGAAGCTGGGGAGGTTTTGCACGGATGCCCTTGCTTAGATTAGGAGGAGGCGCGTTCCCTCCGGCGCGCCTTTGTACCTGCTGCCCTTCCCCCGCTGCTAAGTTTGGGGAAGTTTGCCTTTCTGGGACTACATGTCCCAGAATCCCCGCCCCTAACACGGCTAGCGAAAACGGCTTGGGAGCGGGTCTTGAGAAGGGGAGGCTCTCTCTCGAGGAAAGCGGGAGGCTGGCGTTGGCAAGGGTTGGCAAGGGAGACCCACGTGTGAAATGGACAGACTCGGAAAGGCAGCCCCAGCCCGGAGTCGGCG